TGCCGCCTGGGCGGGGTGGGGGGACGCGCACCGCGGGGTACTCTTCCCGTGTGGCCCCTCGTGTTTACATGCCCGAGATGATGAAGGACCTGATCGATACGGTCTGGGGACGCCGCAGAGGGGGCTGTCAGCGGCAGAGGCAGCAGCCTTGGCCTTTGAGTTCATTCGTATGTGTGTTTTGCGGGGTCATGAGACCTAGGAGAGCGCGGTGTTGGAAAGGAGGATTTCTCCAGTGTGTCTGAATGGGTTTTCTGAAGAGAGCGGCGATGTTCAAAGCTCTTCGGAGCAGCGGCTGGGCTGCGGGCGCCTGCCGGCAGGCACCTGGGCAGGGAGGGGAGAAGCAGCAGCGGTACCGAAAGTGAGTCTAGTTCTGCTGCTGCTGCAACGAATTGTCGTCTTCTTCACATTTACTTTCTGCTTCATACGTTTTACTAACAGTTGGCGTTGTAAAGGAAAGCACAGTGTTAAAAAAAAAAAAAAAGAAAAGAAAGCTAAAGACATTGTTCTCAATGACAAATGAGTGATTTGTTTTACTCTCATTGAATGTAAGATGTTATTTTCTGCAGTTTACTGAGTGTAGTTAGTCATCTCCTAGACTGTCACTGAGCTGTAGTTAAACAGAATAATGATGAACTTGAAAACTCTCGTGTAAGATTTCTTTTGCTTTTCCTGCCTCAAAAAGACCTTTTCAGAGTAATATCTGCCCAGTAGGTAACATCTTACTACTTTGCCTGTTGTACAAAAGGCTGTGGAGCTTGTATAGACTTTACGTTACTTAATTAAGGGTCTCAGGGATGTGAAAAAATACCATTCTGAACCTCATTTGCGGTGCTTAGGAGTTGTAAAAACAGAGCACTGAGACTTCTGGTGTATACAAGTGCAGGGGCTGGTTTCCAAATGTTGTCGATTTGTTTTCTCATATTATTTGACTGTACTAAGGTATTTAGACTATGAACACTTCAAGTTTGCAGGAAGAAAAGCGCACGTCATGTTCCTACTGATGTTAAAACTAGAAGTGGACTTTGAGTGACATGGAAAACTTAACAGTGAGCTTCTAACAGAGTCAGAGTCAGCATAACTTGATGTTGAGCTGTATGAATGCCATTGGGATTTTACTTCTCAGCATTTCTTTTCCACTTTGCTCTCTCTGAACTGGATATTAGAGATTAGGACCCTGGAAATGGCAGTGGTTGACTGCTTGAGTTACGGGATGCTCCTACTCCGCATATTTTTCAACTGAAAGTTCGTACCAATTATAATAGAGGCATAATTTTTGCAGGGTCTCAATAACTGTAAACAAAAATTTGAAGAAGAAAATTAATGAAATTGGAAGATAATTCAAGCAGGTGTTAACATAGTGCTCAAGATTCAGTGGAATTTTGTATCCATCTGTTTTAAACTGATTGGTACCCGTGGCTTCAGTGCCTCTCTTGGTGACAGTGTATGTTACTTTAGGGAAATCTACCTCCTGGCATGACAAGATTAACATAATGCATGCCAGAATAAAGAATTTTGCTGGTAAAGCTTCCTTTTCCTCCTTAATATATATGCAACGGGCATGATTAAGTTACATATGTAGAGAATTAAAATACACAGCTCATACTGCTTTGGGACAAGAATGTAATTACTATGTTCTGCTGATTTTATTTCTTAAGAAGGGAAAACTATTATAAAGTTTATTAAAAGTATGATGGTAAGATTTGCTTTGTGAGCAACTTAGTAGTGATTCTCTAAAACTTGTGTGAGGAGAGGAAAAAGAGCTTTCTGCAACAGCTTTTAACTTGGGTTCTGCTTTCTTAGCGTGAGAGTATGCTTTTTTAAAAAGCTTCTAGTTATCTGAATGTCTCTCTTTTCACGTGTTTGGTATGTATTTTATGACTGGCAAATGGTAAGGTTTCATTACAGAAAATTTTTTACCATCGTGATTGGTGATATTTCTACTGAGCTGTAATATGGAGGGTGGTTTTCTCCGAATCAAATTAATTAGTTGGCCTAATACACTTGAATTCCAATCTTTCTCCCTGCCCCCCCAAAAGAATGAGGGAGGGGGAATGTGTGTGTGAAAAGGCAGTGATGCTATGATTTGATGATAACGAAAAAGTAGTTCCTTTGGTCTTTCGGTTGTGTTTCAGTGGGCACTTTATGTTAGAAGTCACATTGCATATTGTTTGGGTACTGGGTTTTGAACTATGCTATGTGTTTGCGTTGATATATCATATGATAAACTGTCATCTTGGAAAGTAATTGTAAGAGTTAGACGCTGACTAGGAAAACCGCATGACTTCAGATTTGATAGCAAATAAAATAATTCTGCAGTCTTATCAGCAGTTCTAATAATATTCAGCCATACTTTCTGATAGAAAGGGTTTTATCCAATTTCTTCACGTATGAGCAACTCCTGATTCTGTACTGAACAATTGGGGGGGGGTAATTTCAGTTCAACGTCTTAAAATATCTTGCCTATAACATGAAATTAGAGCATGTTTCAGGGCAAGAAAAGAATGGGAACCTCTTTCTTCCTGTAAGACTTTATATAGGTAAAACTCAGTCACCCTGGCAAACTTTTCTTTTTTAAGTTGAGAAGTACAGGAGATAGAACTAAATGACCATCAAAAATGCTGATGCTGCTTTTTTTTCTCTGTGATGAGATTATTATGATCCTAATATAATTTAAAAATGTATTTGTAAACCTGTGGGTTTCTTCATCGTATGAAAGATAACTCCCTAATTAAAACAATAAAGAAAATAAAAATATTCATTGTAACTTCTCTGCAGCTGTTGGACTTCTTAAGCTCTTTACAAATAGTTTGTAGCGGTGAGATCACAAGCAGAGCCCAGTCAGAACCCAGTTTCAAGTACTTTTTTGGTAAGATTAGTACATACAACATTAATCTTTTATATTATTTTCAAGTTTACATGTAAGGGCAGCTAAACTGGCATTCTCTCCAGACTAAGTTGTCCCTGCTTGCCAGTGCAAACTTTAATGTTTTTATTTAAGCCTGGTATAGGTACCTGCCCATTAGCTCTAGGAATGCACAGCCCTAATAGAGAATATTGCATGTGAAAGGCAAATGTTGAGGTTTGCACTATCATTCCTGGAACAGAAATAATGTCTGACTATCCCCTTTGGTTTTTTGCAAGCCTAGTGAGTGCAGCTCTGCCTCTGGTTTAAACTGACCTAGCGTTAAATGTGTACCATGCCATCTCCTGCATTGCCATTAGTGTTCATGGTGAGTTGGATCAAAAAAACTGATCCTGCTGGAAGTAATTCATCCATCTCTCCTCTTCCCTCCTCTCCCCAAAATTTTGTAATGCATTGGTTGGGAGAAGGAAGAGAAGAGGGAACTTTGTATGTGTTCCAGTTCTTCTGTTAAATTAATTTTATTCTGCAATAGCAAGTACTAGAAGCACTTCAAGGTTGGGCAGAGGGGTGGGAGAAGACAGTGCCTCATTCAAGGAAGAGTCTGTAGGATTGTCAGAGAAGGTGCAGACAGTAGATGGGGAAGGATTACTCTTTGGTGGGGTGGAAGTTAAGTAATACTGCTACTTTCTAGCTGTTTAGTGATACTTACATATTGGATGTTGAAAATAGTCCATGTCTGAGTAACATAATATATCCTAACAGGGAGAGCAAAGATTGAACAACTTTATTACTGTTTCAGATTATTGCTTCAGATCATGTTGAAACACTGGTTAGCTGTACTGTGGGAGTATTTCTTCTGCTAAGTGATAAACATACTTATGGCTCATATCTGTTAATTCAGTACCTTGAATTCAGCATACAGAAGTCTGTCATTTAAAAGAAATTCTTAATGTTTTACTTTTTAATTTTTTTTTTTGTTTGTTTGAAAATACGTGAATAATTTGAAAGGCTAAGGCTCTTTTCCTAAGCCCAGGGAAGAAAATTTAATTGATGGTTAATTGATTGCCAGATTTTTAATTTTTTTTTTTAAGGTAGTTTTCTAGTACCTGTGGCCCTTGCTGTGGTAGTATCCTTCTAAGCACTGTGCAAGTACCTAACAAACCACTGTTCCTTTGAAGTTAAATAATTTAGCTTCCCAATGATTAAATCTTATGCTTTTTAGAAATATAAGTTTCTACTTTTTTGGGATGTTGAAATAATAGGCATCTTATGTTTCCTTCATTTAGGGGGAAAAAAAAAATCTCCTGTCAGTAGGCCTGCCAGTTGCATGTATTTGGAAAAATCCCTCAGAAAACTTCTTAAATTGTCCCTCATAATATAGCATGCATGGTTCCTTAGTATATTATTTATACTTGAACTTCATTTATAAAGAGTAGTTTGTGATTGTTGGCAGTTCTGGCTGCACACAGCTATGCAAATAATTTACTAGCATTTCTTTTAAATATAGCTCTGTTGCCCAGTAGTTATTATTTTCTGCTGCATAGCCTGAGGCATTCTTTCAGAAGCTGTTTTCTTGTGTACCGAGTTTCCTGAAATAAGTTTTAATGCTGCTTCCTCAGTATATATCCAGCCAGTGAAACATTCTTCCCCTTTGCCTTGCTGGTTCTATCATACTTTTTCATTTAGTTCCCCCTTACCGTTCCCCTTCATCATACCCCAAGTCGTTCCAGACACTTTCAGAATAAATTTTAAACTACTCCCATACTATGCTTGTACTTCCCATTGCAAAGTGTGATATAGAGCAATTATATTAATTTTGTTTTATTTCTTTATTATGTTATTATTTGTGATTTTTATATTTATTTATAACTTTTTTGGGAAGAAGTGTTGCAGCTGCTGCTGTTGCATTTTCTACGAAATCGGTAATGTTTGAATTTTGACTAATACAGAATTGTGCACGTTCCCAAGCACATACCAAGACAGGTCAGACTTGCTAATGGGCTCTGAGGCTTGATCTCACTCTCTTTCTAACAGTGGAAACAAGAGGCACAACTTTTAAAAAATTTCTTTCCTCTTCTGGAAGGCTGCACATAAGAAACCTTAGTATTGTTGTACCTAGTTTGCAAGCCTCATGCTTTTAAAGAAATAGGTTTGAGAATGCGGTGAGAACTGTGCCATCGCTTCTAATAGCAGATGCTGTTCTGAAGAGTTATCTTGTAAGGGGATATTTTTGTTAGAGATATTTTGAGGGCAGTTCTGAGAAGTGAAATGGACTTGAGAAATCAGATAAAGCGTATGCCTCCAGTCCCTCCAGCCATGGACTGCAGTGCATGAGGTAATCACCAGGTAAGGCACTGCATCTTTCTAGATTCTCCATTGGAAAAGGTCAGGTTTGGGCCAGTACATATCTATATATGTTACTTTTTAATGCACAAATTTAAGTTGAAGAGCACAAAGACTTACAATACCATCCTCCAGGGAAATCCTGGAAAAGAGCCACAATTACAATCAGCTGTTTAGGACAGAAAAGGCTTGTTGGACAGCCAAAGAAATTCAAGTGCCATGCTCCTGTATGAATTAATGCAATGTTACAGATTTGGTAATAGTAGCTATGAGGTAGGGAATTAATTCAAGGCTGAGAACCTCAGGAGAAAGTGTTTAAAGGAGTTCTAGGTCTTGTTCTTCCATATCATTGTTTTTCTACACAGGAAGGGAGATTGGGTTATTTCAATAATTAAATACCTGGCAGGTTTCATTAATGTGCTTGGCACTGTAAAAGGAAAAGCGGGGGCACTACTGGAAATCAGAAAAAGCTACTTTTAATGCCTTTATGTACTCTGTGATAAAGCAACTAAAACAACGACATTATGGCATAATGCTGTGCCAATGCTCCCTTTGTTTTTCTCATCTATTTTCTAATTCTGAGCATGGCGAAAGTAACTAAAATTTTCATGTCTGCAATGTGCCTTTGAAATTGAGTGGTTGGAAGTTACTATGTCTTTTTTTTTTAGTTCTCACTGGAGATTATTATCAAAGGAACTGGTTTAAAATGCAGCAAAACCCCAACAAAACCATAGACCCCCAAATACTCCACTAAATTAAAATTGACTGGTTGTGCAATTTATATATGTATATGTGTGTATGTATGTGTATAAACACATATAAAATGTTTGCATATTTAAAAAAAAAAAAAAAGCAAGCCCAAAACAGCCTTTGGTAAACTACTTAAACTTTGGAGTTAGCATAACAGATTAAACCATTGCTTTCCAGTTTATCATGTACATCCGAAGTGAAATAAATCATAGGAATTTTTTTTCTTCCTTATTTCAGAAAACTGACATATTTGCAGCTGGATTCTTTTTTTGCACAGCTTTGTATTTCCCCTGGCTGTTGAAGTTAGGGACATTTGAACAGTTCATGAACAAGTCATTTCCATATCTACTGACTGGCAACCGTGAGTCACTTGCTGTTAGACTTATTCTGGCTAGACTTGTCTTCTAATAATGAATGCCTTCCCTGAAATTCTTGCTCCTCTTTAGGAAATAGATGGCTTTTGCATATGGAATCCTCCACGTAGTATCACTTAATTGGGTCAAAAGACAGCCGTTTTGTGTAATTGTGTGCAATCTGTAGTTTTTGTCACTTATCTGAAGTG